GGCTTGCTTAGTATCCCAACACTGCCCAGCCTGAAGCCCCCTCCCCGAGCCAGTGTCCCCTTCTCCACCTCCTCTTGCATCCAGATTTCCTCCCAGAGCTTGCACCTCTCACCCCTTCCCACACCCAAATCCCTCATTCCCACCCCAGAGCCTACACATCCTGTCTCAACACAGCAAGGGTCCAGCTAGACTGCAGGAGTTTTTCAGGATTCTGGAGATATCCCAGAAAAACTCTTCCACATCCAGGGTTGCGTTTGTTCTTCCGCTTTTTTAGCGGAAGAGCAAACAGGCTCTTTTGGTCACCCCATATTCCCCTTTCCACAAGGAATAAGGGGGCTTCCAAAAGAAGGTTTTTTTTCCTGACATTTGGTCCAGTCTAGATAGGCCAAATGTTGGAAAAACCTCTTCCTATAGAAGAATTTTTTTTTAAAGCAGCAGTATAAGGCTTGGGGATAGCAAGTGATGGAGAGGAGGAGAATAGAGGAGGCGGGGCGGTAGATCTTGGCTTGGTCTGTCATTTAAAAAGTGATCTTGGGTGTAAAAAGGTTGGAGACCACTGCTCTAAATCAAATACTAATACTTCCCATCACTGTTTGAGAATTTAAATAAACAGAAATCAGGTTCCATTTTATGATTCTTGCAGCAGCTGTAGAGCTACATGTGCATATTGAGGGTGAGAGGCAGTAAGGTAAGGGTGTTGGTGTCCAGGGGAGCGGTCCTGGAGTAATTGTATCTGTGTGAGGGTGTGTCTAGACTACAGGGTTTTGTCAACAAAACTATACCTGCGTCTACATTACCACTGAGTTCTGTCAACAGTAAGTCGACAGAATGCGGCTGTTTTGTCGACTGCGGTAAACCTCATTCTTCGAGGAATAATGCCTTTTGTCAACAAAAGGTGCTATTGCATCCACACTGTGCTTTTTCAAAAGAGAGCGTCTAGACTCTCTGTCAAAAAAGTGGCTTGCGGTAGACTGCTTGGGGAGGCACAGCCTCCCCCTGCCTACAATACCCACCACCAATGCCTGGATGCCTTAAGCCCCAGCTGCAGCCATGCAGCAGAAGTCCTGAGTCTGGGTGCCCAGAGACAGAAGCCACCAGAGGCAGAAGCCCTGAGTCCGAGCACTCTTAAGCCCTTGCTGCAACTACAGCGGTGGCACCCAAGCTCAGGCATCTGCAGCCCTGAGCCCAACTCCGAGGCTGCTGCCTCTGGAGGTGGTAAGATCTCTCCACCAAGAGCAGACTAGCAGTTAGGAGCTCCTGGCTGGGGCGCTTCCAGCCACATGGGGAGATCAAATTTCACAGAGAAGGACTTATTTCAAAGTTCATGACATGTTTTTCATTGCCATTAAAGTGGGTGGACCTTAATCATGAAGGATGGTGAGGTAAAAAAACAGGCTAAGGAAACTTTTATAAACATGATTGTACCAAAGTAGAAAATACGCTTTCAAAAATGGATGTATGAGGCATAACTTTGCATGTAGGAAGTGGTGGTGGGGAGTTGCAGGTGTGATTCCACTCCATAAATGGCTCACAAATGCACTAATTATGTTCAGGGAACCAAGCAGGCCTTATTTTAAGAAAAAAGAAAAAACTAACAACCTGATCCCAAATAAGTCACATTCAGGAGTATTCTGGGTATATTGATGCTAGCCTAGTTTATTCTCTATAGGCTAGGACAGGGGTGGGCAAAAAGGCCTCCGCGGGCCAGATCCAGCCCACAAAGCAAGTGGATCCGGCCCATGGAGGCCCTGCTGCTCCCCCCGTCCCCAAGCCAATTAGGACCTGGGGCGGGGGAGTGCCTGAAGCCTTCTTTGCACTGCCCCTGCCCTGGCTTACTTGGCTGGGGGTGCGGGAGCACGCGAAGCCTCTTCCTACCCTGTGAGTAGTGCGTGGCGCTTAGAAGTGCCACGCACTGCTCGCGGGTGGGGGGAGAGTGGAGGAGGCTTCACGCACTCCTCAGCCCCCAGGCCAATCAGAGCCTGGGGGTGGGGGAGCTGCGTGAAGCTTCCTTCACTCTACCCCAGCCCTGCGAGTAGTCCGCGGCACTTCAGAGTGCCACATTTGCCTTTCAGGGTGGGAGGAGGCTTCCCATGCTCCTCTGCCCCCAGGCACTTATTGGCCAGAGGGTGGGGGAGCGTGCCAAGTCTCTTCCAGGACATGAGTGTCTAGTGGGAAGCGGGGGGCAAAGGGGCTCCCCCACCCCCAGACCAATCATGGTCTGAGGGTGGGGTAGCCCTGCCCTTTCCTATTTAGGCCCCATCCCTTCTGGGGTGACCCGGGGCTACTTAAAAAAGTGGCCCCCCAGGCAAAAATTATTGCCCGCCATTGGGCTAGGAAGAGGTCTCAACCAAGTGTGGGTTCATACTATTTTGGTTTTGAATAAATGTTTTTGTCCCCATCCTAGCAGTACCAGGTTTACTGTGGTGCCATCATGTGGAGCTCACACACCAAAGGGCCCATAACAACTATATGGGGGCCCACAAAAAGTTGATCTGGCCCTGTGGAGGGGATGTCAGTATGAGGGGGAAGAGGCCTGGTGGTTGTGGTGTCATTGTCCATGGGAAGGTCTGTGGGGAGGGGTGCTTTAGCAGGGCACTGGTGTGGTGGGAAAGGACCCAGTGGCAGGGAGGTTGGGGAGCTGGAAGAGATGCAGTGCTGTGGGAGGGAGTGTTGATGTGTGGGGGAAGGGCTGTGGGGGATGAGATACTGGTGTAGGTGGGAAGGGTTGTGGGAAGTGGATGTCAGTGTGTGGTGGAGGGGCTGAAGGGAGAGGAGTGGACAAGGGAGGGAGTATTGGTGATGAGGGAGGGATTGTGAGGAGGAGGGTGTGCAATGGGGGAAGTGTTGGGTGTATGGGGCTGAGGCTGTGGGGAGGAGTGGGCGATGGAGGGGTGTTGGTGTCTGGGCAAGGAGTTCCGGAGAGGAGCAGTTGGTGTATGGGGAAGGGTTGCCAGGAGCAGTTGTGCATAGAAGGAGTGATGGTGTGCAGGGGAGAGGCTTCAGGGAATGGGTGTGCAATGGAAGAGGTGTCAGTGTACAGGGAAGGAATGGTGGGGAAAGGAGTGGACAAGAGAGGAGATGTGGTGGGGAGTGTACAACGGAGGAAGTGTTGGGTATATGGGGAAGGGGCGGTGGGGAGAGGAGTGGGATGTTGGTGTGTGGGAAACAGGTTATGGGGAGGAAGTGTTGACATGTGGGGGAGGGGTTGTTCATGGAGGGGGTGATGATGTGCTGGGAAGGGCTTCAGTGAAGGAGTGTGCAATGGAAGGGGTGTCAGTGTGTGGGCTAGGGGGTGTGAGGAGGGAGTGGGGTCGATGTGCAGAGGAAGGACTGTTAGGGGCAGTGTTGGTGATGGGGGTGCAAGAGAGGGGGTGCTGGTGATGGGGGCGAGGGGCGGTGTGTAGAGAAGGGGCAGTGGGGACGGAGTGGGCAATGGAGGAGATCTAATTAAGTATTATTATTATCATGTTATGACATGACTTGTGCGCGAGTATTCTCGCTCACACTCTAGGACTGCGCTATGGGCTACTATGCTGATTCACCGCTTGGATATGGGTATCAGCACATAGTTGCGTACACCTGGCTGGTAGACACACTCACGCAGTGTGAGCATGTCTACCAGCCAGGCAGTATGCAACTACGTAGTAGTGCTGAATATTTTCCTTTTATAAACATACGATTCGTGACAGTGTTGCCCTTTGTCTAGCTTTCATCTTCCTCCTGTCTCTTTTAAGGTAAGGAACAATGAGCAGCTTTATCAAAAAAGGCTGGCCGCCTTACATTCAGAATTTTCTAATTTTGTTTAGGATCTTGATATCCATAATGAGCAATGCAGAAAATGAAGTTTTTGAAAAATAAAAAATGGATAAAAGCTGCGCACTAATGTAAAATATACCATGTAATGGAGATTGTCAGCAATAAACTCCCCATATCGTGGGGGTTGGTTTTTTTTTTTTTTTTTTTTCTTGGTCTACACATTTTTATCACGTGTGTCCGGTATTTTCATTGAAACCATCTGGCAACCCTGGTGGGCGAGGGGCCGTGGGCGGGCAATGGAGGGGATCGGGCAGGAGCTGCGGGGGGAGGGCCCCGAGCAGGCCGTGGAGCGGAGGCGGCCGGCGCTAGCACAGACTCCGGCCCGGGTCCGCCAGCGCTAGGGGGCGGACGAGCACCTCCCGCCCGTGCGGCTGCAGCGGCAGAACCGCTGGGCTTCCTGCTCCACCGCCGCCCTCTGAGCTCTCGTCAAGCCGCGTCCGCAGGGGCCGGGCGGGCAGCCGGAGCGGAGGCGCAGGTAAGGGGCTCCCGGCTCTCTCCAGCTCGGGCCTTCCGGGCTGGGCCCCCGCCGCCGCGTCGCACACCCGGCTCAGGGACGCTGCGCAGCGGCGTGTCCCGGCCCCGGAGCGCCTGGCCAGGCTGTGCCCCGCGCCCCGCCCTTCGCTCACCCCGGCGCTCTGAGGTCTCCGCTCCTCCCGCCGGGAGCCCCGAGCTTCCCTGCACCGCCGCCTCCCTTCCCCTGCCGCCCGCAGAGCTCTCCTCGCGCGCGTTTCGTGGCCGAGCCAGCGGCTCTTCTGCTGCCCCCTTGGCTGCCTCTCCGGCCAGCAGCACAAACCGCCCTTCTAGAGTCTCCAGCCGCCAGCCCCGGACCATTCCTGTTTTGACCCTCTCCTGGGGTTGTGTGCGCTTCGTGCGGCTTCGCTCGTTTCCTCCTTGGGGCAGCTGCCAGAAAAATACACGTACCTGAAAGGGAAAAAATTGGGCTATTCTGCACCAGGTCTGTATCTCCCCACCCGCATCGTGGGGAGGGGGGAGACTCCAAGAGGCTAAACGTGACTGTAAACTTTAAGCTTGCATAGAACCAAAAGTCGGGACAGGATGGAAATGAGCGTTTCAGTGCTGGCTCTAAGCCACTGCATTAGAGGTGAAGTATTGTAGAAAGTAGTTCAGGTGTGAAGAGCTGGATGCCTCTCAAACTAGAGCTGTGGATGAATTCTTTACAGAGGAGATAAAGATCTACAGTGTGCAAATGCCTGGTAACTTTTGACTGGGTATGCTTACATTGATTTAGGACTTAAGTATTTATAGCGGTAAACTGAAATGAGCTTTTCTGATTTTCACTGTTACTTGCTGACAGCTGTTGTTTGTACAAAACTACTTAAAAGTATAATTAGCCCTTCAGTTTCAGTTTCGAATTGTGTATCTTTGCTTATCTCTTCACATCTTGGTGCTGTCATTTATAGAAATGGATTTCTAACGTTTTATCCTAGATACATAAGTAAGCATAATTATTTTTCTTCTCAGCTCAACTTTCTTCATATATAACTTTGTAGTCTGATGCGCTCAATTATCTAACAGTGAAAAGCTTTAGTTACCCTTAAAGACTTAATTTTACCAGTATAACTATGTCTATTAGTGGGTTAACTTTTTTTTAACCAGTGTCACTTTGATAAAAGTCCTATTGTGGAAGCAGTTATACAAATATATCATACTACTATAGTTATTTCTTTTCTTGTATGGGAATAGCAAAAACCAACATAAAGTGCCATTATATTAATATAATTGTGTTCACACTAAGGGCACAGCACTGTTAACTGCTTTCTAATATAGACACACCCTTGTGCTCTTGGAAAGGAGGAAATACTAAGGTAAAGAAAAAAAAGTAGCATTGTATTAAACATTCTGTAACTGATCATGGAAATCATCAGTGGAATAGTTATATATGGTTAACCTGACATTCAACAAACACTGAAGACATTACTGGAGGGACCAAACTTGCATTGGTAGGGGTATGCTCTAAGGAACCAATTCACAGTTGGTATATCCTTACAGATCTCGTTGCAGGAGCTGGGTCTAAATGACCTAAACTCTTTGTTCTTCAGTTTTTCTACATCTGTGATTGTGAAGTAGAAAGGTAAATATAGATAATCTTGTTTTGGCATCTGTCACTATAATACCTATCTGCTACTAGATAGCGTAAAGTCCTGTCTGTCTTGGGACCGAGAGCAGCCTCTATCCATGATGGAACTGGGCGCCTGCAGGAAGGAGCTGCTCCAGTGTCCAGAGCCTGGGTGCCCCCGTTAATCGGCTAAATGAGATTTTACATCCCTACTTCCCAGAAGCAGCAACATCTCTTTACTGAGGATGTAAAATCCCATTTAATTGGTTAACCAATTGAACTGTGTTTGTGTGTGTGGGGGGGGGGGGAGGAAGGCCAGTGGGAGCCGAGAGACTGGGCTAGTGTGGAGGTGGGGACAGCATGTGGTGCAGAGTCACATTGAACATCCGTCCCTTCCCTGCCCCCCTGCAGGCAGGGGTTGCACCAGCCAGGATACCAGAGCAGCCCTTGCCTGCGCAGGCCAGGGTGCCCCACTGTCAGGGATTGCTTCAGAATCACAGTCAGAACAGCCCCTACCTGTAGGGTGCCTGGGCCCACTATGGACAGAATCTGCTTCATGGGATGTCGGAGCAGCCCCTCCCCGTGGTGGGCCCCGGTGACCCACAGGCAGGGGCTGCTCCAGAGTCCCAGCCAGAACAGCCAATGCCTGCCAGGCCTGCCAGAGGCAGGAGCTGTGCTGGAGCAGCTCCTGTTCATGGCAGGCCGTTCACAGGGCTGGTACTGCTCCAGTTCATCTGGTTAAACCTTCACATCCCTAATCTCTACTATTTCTTGGTGGAACTATTGCCCAGGAACTGCAGCCAATGGGAGCTGCAGGGGCAGTGAATATGGGCAAAGGCAACACACACAGCAGCCTAGCCATGTCTCTACTTAGGAGCAGCAGGACTTGTCACCATTTCCAGGGAGCCACTGCAGGAGATTGCTGTCTGAATCCAGCACCCCCAAACCTTTTTGCAACCCAATCCTCAGTCCTGAGCCTCCTCCCACACCCGAACTCCCATCCTCTTAGTTAACTGGAAATTTTTATTTACCAGCACCCACTGTTCCCCCAACGTGCAAGAAAACAAAGCTCATAGTTGGATCAAAGTTTTTGACAATAAAAGCTTTTTGGTTTCCATCTGGCCCCTTCCTTTCATTGAGCATCTCTGCCATTTCCAAGTTTCCTGTTACTGTTTCTCCCTCCTCACTGACCAGTGAGCCTACCCTCTCCTTAGTCTTCCTCTTACTTCTAATGTATTTATAAAAAGTCTTCTTGTTTCCCTTTATTCCCGTAGCTAGTTTGAGCTCATTCTGTGCCTGCCTGAAATGGCAGCTAATGCAGGGAAGCTCAGTCCTTGAAGTCACCTGCAGGCACTTCCCCCCATTGTTCCCATTGGCCAAGAATAGAGGGAGGTTGGAGGTGTGGGTGGTGCCTGCAAGTGACTGCCCTCGCCATATAGGAGCTGCACCAGGTAAATACCCCATTCCCCCTGCCCTTGTACCTAATATCCCCCCACACCTTGCAGCCTACCCCCAGCCCGCTCCTGCACCTACGGTTGCCAGATGGTTTAACCCAAAATACCAAACACCCCTATCCCACTCCCCCAAAAAAACACCAGGAAAAAAATTCTGTTGAGAGGAAAAAAAAAAGGGGGGGGGGAGAGACCAGGGTTGTTGAGGGGGAAGAAAAAAGAGGACTCCAACAGCAGTTATTAAGCAAACAAACAAACAAAATTAAAACATTAAAAAATCAGCATGGCCCCTTTAAGAAGAGGCTTTTTTTTTGGTGGCCATTTTGTTTTTCTGATCCAGAAACCAGGAAAAAAATTCTGTTGAGAGGAAAAAAAAAAGGGGGGGGGGAGAGACCAGGGTTGTTGAGGGGGAAGAAAAAAGAGGACTCCAACAGCAGTTATTAAGCAAACAAACAAACAAAATTAAAACATTAAAAAATCAGCATGGCCCCTTTAAGAAGAGGCTTTTTTTTTGGTGGCCATTTTGTTTTTCTGATCCAGAAACAATATAAGCCCCTACGGAACCAGGTAAGCAGGGGTGAGGGACATTC